GTAGAACGGGTACGTTTTCCCAGTGTTATCCAGTCTTACTTATTGGGTAGTGCCATAGCAGCAGTAGCTGGTCCTCTTGTGCAAGCCCTGGCCTACGCCAAAAAGTAGGGGCGCAGGTGGCTTCCACAGGACACTGGAAGGGGCAGTAGCTGTGGCCCTTTGGTAGGATCCCAATTTCGTCGGTCATCCGACGTGACGTCGGGAGTGACCGACTGAAAGGGAACGTCTCGGTTACGTATGTAACCCTCGTTCCCTGAAGGAGGGAACGGAGACGTCACGTCCCGTCGCCACAGCTCCTGTACCACCGCTGAGCGGCCGGGTCACCGGCTCGGCTCCTCAGCGAAAACCTGAATATGCGCTGCATCTGCTGCCTACTTATACTCACGCTGTGATCAGCAGCAGCTGGATGCAATAATCGCATGCCAATGTGCATTGGCTCGTTTAGTTTACACTCGAAGTAGATTGGTCTCTCTAAGCGAGATCCCAATTCGTCTGTCATCCGACGTGACGTCTCCGTTCCCTCCTTCAGGGAACGAGGGTTACCATACGTAACCGAGACGTTCTTCTGCACCCTAAAAAGAGCATTTTCTACACTCTCTCTTAGGCCATTGTTGCCAGCTAGTGCAACAGGCTTTAAAAGGGACATCGGATGCCCATTTTCATCTTCAGGGTCTTCATGAAATGTCTGCAACATACTTTGGTTAAAATTCCTTAATGGTCGTGTAAAACAACACCCTCTTTACCTGAGCAATAAACCAGTGGCCTGAACAATATGATGTCACACTGCTCAGAAAATCAAAACGGCTTGATAATTGAGACTGTTTAGGTTTTTGGGGGATAAAAAAAAAAAGGAGTGAATGGATTTTTATCATTGTAGGCATGTAAAAGTAAATTTTCCATCCGATGTCCCCTTTAACAACATTAAGACTTTTCCATACATAAATAGTCTTATACAGGGTGACCATATGTCCTCATTTTGATTTCTAAATTGCCTGAAATGTCTGGGTTTTGGCTTTGTTTTTCTATTAACGTTCTCTCTACAGTCCTCATACACCCTGGACCACAAAACCAGTCTTAAGTGTCAATTTTTCAAAATTGAGATTTATACATCATCTGAAAGCTGAATAAATAAGCTTTCCATTGATGTGTGGTTTGTTAGGATAGGACAATATTTGGCCGAGATACAACTATTTGAAAATCTAGAATCTGAGGGTGCAAAAAAATCTAAATATTGAGAAAATCATCTTTAAAGTTGTCCAAATGAAGTTCTTAGCAATGCATATTACTAATCAAAAATTAAGTTTTGATATATTTACAGTAGGAAATTTACAAAATATCTTCATGGAACATGATCTGTACTTAATGTCCTAATGATTTTTGGCATAAAAGAAAAATCTATAATTTTGACCCATACAATGTATTTTTGGCTATTGCTACAAATATACCCCAGCGACTTAACACTGCTTTTGTGCTCCAGGCTCACATGTGTGTGTATTTGCATTGCTTCGAACATAGATCCCGCCTTCTCGCACGCCACGATTGGACGATTATCTACATTGTTTGCATGCTATTGGTCAAACTACTTAGACAAGACATCAGTCTCACTTTTCGGATTCAAATTAGATCAATCTATGATGTTTTCATGTACCTGACTTAAAACATAAAAATAAAAAAAATTAGATAACTAACTTGTGTGCAATTTACACAAGCAGCCAGCTCATGTTAGTATGGAAGCTTATTTCTGCCATATTCAGAAGGTAATTGCAACTTTTTTTTCTCACAATTCAGACTTTTTCCCTCCAAATTCTGAGTTTATCTCTCACAATAATTTTTTCCTCGAAAATCTGAGTGTATATCTTATCTTGACTTTTTTCTCAGAAATGCGATTTTACATCTTTTATATTCAATAATATGAATTATCCTGCAAGAGGCTTCATTTTTAACATTAATGAAAATCATTCTATCTAGACGCATCATTTTTTAAATTTAAAATCGGTATAAATTAATTCAGTGTAAGAATACTGTCATAATAGACCAATACTTACTGTATAAATAAAAATGTATTTGTTTGTTTGTTTTTGTTTTATATTAATCAATATTCCTTCAATAGTTTTAATTTTCTTCATGCAAAATATAATTTCATCTTTTTTACATGAATGAAAACCATCCTATGCAGACACACCTTTTTTTTGTTTAAAGGGGTCATATGATGCTATTTTAAAGAGCATTATTTTGTGTATTTGGTGTAACAGAATATGTTGACATGCTTTAATGTTCAAAAAACACATTATTTTTCAAATACTGTACATTATTATGTGGGGGCGTGTTCGAACGAGCCGTTTTAGGTAGGTGTGGCTGACTCTTAACTTTTATAAAGAATATCTCTTTGGATTTGAGACTTTAGTCTTTGCAACTTTACAGATCTTCTTTATGCACCAAGAGCTTGTAACACTCCAAAGAGAAAGGAAAAATTGAAATCGCATCATATGACCCCTTTAAAATAAGCATGAATTTAATTGTACAAATACTGCCATAAATGTATACTTCAGAATCTATTTATTTAATTTTATATTCAATAACGTTAATTATCATACAATAGGCCTCATTTTCTTCGTGCAAAATATCATTTCTTCTTTTTCATGAATTACAACCATTCTATGCAGACACAATTTTTTAAAATAAGCATGAATTAAATTAATTGTACAAATACTGTCATAATGCATACTTCAGAATCTATTCATTTATTTAATTTTATATTCACAAATATGAATTATCATACAATAGGCTTCATTTTCTTCATGCAAATTATAATTTCTTCTTTTTTTCCTTTTGTCTCTGAGGTGCAATATGATCTAGACATGCTGTTGACATGTTTTGTGAAATTCACCTGGTGTTTAATGCTAACAAACTGAAAGGATGTCGAAATGTCTGGCTCACGTCACTGGTGTAAATTAACTGGTCTGGTATCATCTGACCTGTTGGCGATGATAACCAGATGCACATTAAAATCTTCTCCGCTTGGCTCTGGCGTCCCGTGAGGATATGCAGGATGGAGATTGCAGGAGATGGTCTGTCATTTATTCGGTTCCCTACACGTCCAACAACAGGAGGAGACGGCGGCTGACAGCCAACGGGAATCAGGCCAGCCGTTAGAGGGATTACACTCGTCTGCTTAATTTGACACACACACATTTTGCTCAACAAAGAGTTTGGCTGGTCTGCGTCTTTGTGTCGGGATGAGAGAGATTGTGAGCTAATGATAGCCTGAGCGTTGATGCTAAATATGCAAAGCGGGCGAATATGATACAGAACACAAAAGATCTTTGACATGAACGGGCTGCTCCTGCTATAGGCTCTTATTAGCCTGTCTTCCCACTCGCATAATAACATGCTGACACATGTATTTGCCACATAACTGCCATCAGATCACTGTTTTGGGCATAAGGAAAAGGGTTTGCGTGTGTCACTTGTCACGTGGGGGTTTTAGTTTGCTGTTGGGTTTGTGCTTGCATAATTAAGAATGTATTTACTCATATTAAATGGTATTTTTAAAATGAGTCTTGCCCCGGCTTGTGCAGAAACAAAGAGCTGTTATCATGATCTCACCCTCAGAAAACAATTACTAAACAGAGCGGAAAAAGCTCAAACTTCAGGGACCAAACCGTGATTCGTAAGAAATGCTAACTTGCAGTGAAGATTTGTTTTTGACTTGGCACCACTGTTTACTGGCGATTGATAGTTCCATTAGGATTTATATATTTGCACACATTTTTTCAACTTGCTATGGTGGTGCCATGTTATTTTCAGACAATACCATGGATTTACCATCACTGTACCACATCCAGAGATGATCAGTGTGTGTTAATCGATGTCTCTAACATACGGAAACTTATTTCTGCCACTGAATAAAAATATAAATATATTCTTTTTTTTTTTTAAATACACTTTTTTTAATTAAAAAATTTATAAAAGTATACTTTTTATCTCACAATTCTGACCTTTTTCAGACTTTTCTTCTTAGAATTTTGTGTTGTATTTATGTGATATTTGCATTATTTGTAATTGAGTTTTTGCCATGAAAATAGCCCCAGATGCTGACATGGCATTAAATAAAATTATACTACTACTGCAGTCAGGTGTCTAGAATTCTGGAAAAAATAAATTGAATTTCAAGACGTAAACTCGCATTTCTGAGAGAGAAAGTCAGAATTGCAAGATATAAACTCCCAGAAAAATATAAATAAATAAATTCTGAAGTATTCATACATTATAGCAATATTTATACAGTGAATTGAATTCGCTGATTTAAAAATAAATAAATAATTAAATAATAAATCATGTATCTGGATAGGATGATTTTCATTAATGTGATAAAAGTTTAAAAAAAAAAAATCCTTCTGCAGAATAATTAACATTATTGAAATCAAAAAGCTAAATGAACAAATAAATTCTGAAGTATTCATACATTATAATAATATTTGTACACTGAATTTAATTCATGCTGATTTTAAATAAAGTGTGTGTCTGGATAGGATGATTTTAATTAATGTATTACAGTAAATTGCTCCGAAAAAAGTTTTTTTTAATATATATTATATTATATTGTATTATATTTCTTCATTCTCTTTATGCACATATTAAAATATTATGCATATATTACAAACATATTTTTAATATAATATATTAATATATAATTCAACATAATCAATAATAATAGAGCTGCTGCATATTATACTTATACAATAAGGATTCACTATCAAGGGACAATTTATAGTGTTATTTGCCTGAAAGCACGATTCAGAGAGACACTGACAGCAAACGTGAGGAACAGAGATGTCCTCTCTATATAAATCAATACTGAAACCTAGAAAACTAGAGAAAGCATCTACATTTCCAGCTGAGACGTCTCTGGATCTCCATGAAGAAATGGCTCCCCCCTGTGTCAGCAGAAATAAAGTGGTCTTAATTAATGCCGGACGTCTGTGTTGCGGGTTACTCACCATACTGGGCTTCTCTCTCCTGCAGCTCCAGTTTGATCTGGTTGTGTTGCTCCTTCATGCGGCTCAGATCCCGTCCACTTCCTGCGCCCAGTGCCTGCAGCTTCCTCTTCAGCCCCTCCAGACGCTGCTGCCTACTTATACTCACGCTGTGATCAGCGGCAGCTGGATGCAATAATCGCATGCCAATGTGCATTGGCTCGTTTAGTTTACACTCGAAGTAGATTGGTCCCTCTAAGCGAGATCCCAATTCGTCGGTCATCCGACGTGACGTCTCCGTTCCCTCCTTCAGGGATCGAGGGTTACATACGTAACCGAGACGTTCTTTTGAACTTTCTGTTCATCAGAGAATCCTGGAAAATAAAATGTATCACGGTTTCCACAAAAACATTAAGCAGCACAAGCACAGAATAAAAAAATAAAAAGGTAACTTACTTTTTATCTCATCATTCTAACTTTTTTGAGGTAATATGCCACAATTCTGAATTTTTCCTCGCAATTCTGAATTTTTTTCTAAGAATTGTGACATATAAACTCGCAAGTGTGAGAAAAAAAGTCATGCTTGTTTCCGCCACAGAATAAAATAATAAAACAGATAACTACAACTTTTTAAGAGAACTTTAAATGAAATAATAAACTAAACTAACATAAAAAATCTTAAATACATTAGTGCCAGATAAACTTTTTGTTAAGAGAACCTAAAATAAAATAAATAAAGTAGAATAAAAAAAAGTTTTTGTTTTTTTCAGAATTCCGAGTTTATATCTCACAAGTCAGAATAGTGAAATAAAAACTTTTTTTTAAAATTCCATTGCAGAAATAAGCCACCATAGTTTTCAACATTGATAATAATCAGAAATGTGTCTTGAGCAGCAAATCAGCATATTAGAATGATTTCTGAAGATCATGTGACACTGAAGACTGGAGTAATGATGCTGAAAATACAGCTTTACATCACAGGAATAAATTACATTTGAACAGATATTTAAATAAAATACAGCTATTTTGATTTGTAATAATATTTCACAATTTTACTAAATTTTTGATCAAATAAATGCAGCCTTGGTGAGCAGAAGAGACTTCTTTTAAAAATATTAAGCATTCTTACTGAACGCTAGTGTGTGTAGGCAGTACTTAAGCATCCCAGTGGAGGAAGGCTGTACTCTTTGAGCCTGTCAGTCTGTATTGGCTAGTGCTGTCGAGCACAAAGTGACCGTGACATTTGAAACAGCCGCAGGAGGCGACGGGTTCAGATGAGCACAGAAAGAGCGCAGAGGTACCTGAGATGGCCACGAGCTTCGCCTCATGAAGGGCCAGCAGCTGCGCTTCACTCTCGCTGACCTTCCGGCGCAGACTAGAGCCCAGTCTCTGACCCATCACCACCTGAACCACGAGAAACAGAGATTATAAACCTGGAGGAACAGAGCAGTCACTCAACTTACTGAGGTTAAAGTGAGTTAAAATAAACTTAAATGTGACACATTTTTCATTTCCTCCATCATTAGGTCATCACATTTCACATCATCTCTCATCTTCAGATTGAGACATGAATACTGAATGCTAATGCACGACAGCTGTTAATATTTAGATGTTTATTCATGTAGAAAACTAAATCTTAAAAAGACTAAGGGTACGTAAAGGTTACATAGAGGTTTTAGGCTCTTAAATAACATGAAAATAATATCGAAAATAAAATATAAATTTATTATAGCTCAAATAAAATAAAAATCTTTTTTAAAGAGAATAACTTATATAAAATAAAATAAAAAACACGTAAATACATATTACATTTGTGCCACAAACGTTTTTTGTTAAGAGAATATTGTAAATAAAATAAAATAAAAATCTTAAATACAACATACATTTGTGCCACATAAACATTTTTAAGATAATATCTTACAGAAAGGGAAAAAAAGGAAAGAAAACAAAAATAAATACAACACATTTGTGCCGCAAACTTTTTAAAGAGAATATCTTACATAAAATAACACAGTAACAGAAAAATCTTAAATACAAGATAAATTTGTGCCACATAAACTTTTTGTTAAGAGAACCTTTAAAATAAAATAAAATAAAATTCTTAAATACAACATACATTTGTTCCACATAAATGTTTTTAAGACAATATCTTACATAAAATAAAATAAAAAACTTTTTTTGCCACAAACTTTTTTTAAAGAAAATCTTAAAAATAAAATAAAATAAAATAAAAATCTTAAATACAATGTACATTTGTGCCACAGAGACTTTTTCGTTAAGAGAATATCAAAAAATAAATAAAATAAAAATCTTAAATACGACATTTGTGCCGTATTTTGTGCCATACGACAAACTTTTTTAAAGAAAATCTTAAAAATAAAATAAAATAGATTTTCTTTTTAAGAAAATCTTAATAAAATAAAATAAAATAATTATTTTTTTTAATAAAATAAAATAAAATAAAATACTGAGCACTGAGCATTCAGGAAGCCAGTAATGATGGGCCAGATGCCACAGCAGACAACACTGGCCCTCCCGATGTGAAGGCGGTTGTGCGCTGCAGCCGGCTCTGCCATCAGATAATGGTGCATCAGAGGGCAAAGTCATACTGTGCCATTTTTCAGGCAGCTCATCTCCTCTCAGCTCCACCCGCGGTGAAAACACACAGCGATCCCGGACACCAGTTCACACACACACACACACACACACACAAATGACTGTGTGTCCAGTTTCCCATGCTGCTCACAGGAGGAAAGCAGCTCAATGACTGTCGTGGGAGGGCGACACATGCTGACTAACTCACACACACCACAATGCACTGCAACAGGAACTGGAGACTCACGTCCAGAGTATATTTGGCTTAAAAGCACGAGTGATTTATAATGAATGCTGACTGAAGGTGTTTTAGATTATATGGTGGTCGGTGGTTTAGTCATTCTGAATGGATCTGTACATATACAGTCAGGTCAAGGCAGCAGGTTTAGTGGTCTTTTGGCATCTCCCTGTGATCCTGTTTGGTATCCCAGCTTGACTTGTGCTAATTTTTATTAAAAGTGCTCTAAACAATTCTTTTTTTATTTCTCTCTTTCTTGTGGCACTATATAAATACATTGGGAATTCTGAAAATTTTTTTTTTTTTTT